GGGACCCGTCTGGTTACCTGGTGGGCATCGCTTGCGTCGACGCCTCGAGGTTCGACCCGATGACTGCGGAGGCGTCGGGGGCGGGCAATGCGCGGCCGACGCTCGGCGAGTCCAGAGAGTTCACGAACGGACTTCGCGAACTCCCTGGAATTCGCGAGCGGAGTTCGCTCGGCCGGCTCCCGCCAAGGAGTTCGCGAAGGGGTACGACGAACTCGTGGAACTTCAACGCACGGCGAGTGCAGTGGCCTTCCAGAATCTCCAATCCGCGTACGGCATCACTGTGAACGAGTTCTCGTTGATGGCCGACGTCGAACTCCGACGCGTTTGCTCGCTGGACATGTACACGCGCGACCCGATGCACATCATCCTGGCGAGCGGAGGCACGTTCCAGGTGGAGGTGTTCTGCCTGCACAAAGCAGTGGCGCGCGTGATTCCAGACGTGTGGGATCGGTGGCGAACCGATTTCCAGCGCTGGGCTCCAGGCCGCGGCGGAGGGAAAGCTCCCGTGCATCTCTTCTCCCCTGCCAGGAAGAAAGCCTGCGTCGAGGCAGGGCATTTCGTCGGCTCCGCGTCGGACTGCCTCGCCGTCCTGCCGTTCCTCAGGAACTGGCTGCACGTGGATTTCTTGCCGCATCACGCGCCGTTCCTGCCCCAGGCGCGGTCCTTTGAGGCCATGTATGCCGTCATGGAACTGTACCTGGCGGCGAAACGCGGCGGCTGCCCAGACACGTTCGATGTTGATTTCAAGCGCCATGTCGGGTTGGCGCTCAGGAAACACGTGCGGGCCTACACGGACGCGTGGATCGTGCCTAAGCATCATTATCTTTGGCACGCAGCTGTGCAGGCGGCGGAGGATGGGTTGATGCTCGACTGTTTCGTGCTCGAGCGAAAACACAAGCTCATCAAGGACACCGCGGAGCACTACGACCGCTTGGGCGGCATGGACAAGGATGTGATCACCCAAGTTGTGGCTACGTACTTGCACGAGTCCTCGGCCGCGCCGCGCCAGTCGCACAAATGGTGGCCGACCCCTGAGCTCGACGGGATCATCGGGCAGCGCGGTTGGGGCCAAATGGGCTTTGGTGCACGCGCGAGCCTCCACGGGGGGCGCGCCTGCGGGGGCGCCTCTCGGGGCAACGCCGAGGCTCGCACGTGCACCAGGGCCTATCCAGGCACGGCGCCATCACTTGTCGTCGAGCTGCTGTCGGCGGCCTCGTCTACGGCAGCGGGGACGTGTGGCTCGAGGGCGACGCCGCGTTCCACGTCCACTGCGTGGCGGTGGCCGCGGGGCGCTCCTACCTCATCGTGGAGCCGCTGGACCTGGCGTCGCGGCCTGCGCCTGGGGAGTCCGCGTGGCGGCCACGAGGAGGACCGAGCTGTGCAAGGAGGAGGGAGGGGGAGGAGGGGAGGGAGGGGGAGGAGGAGGAACAGGGGGACGAGGAGGAGGGGAGGAGGAGGGGGACGAGGAAGGAGAGGAGGAGGAGGAGGAGGAGGAGGAGGGGGACGAGGAGGATGGGATGGCCCACTACGCCGCCGCCCCATAGGATGCGGCGCGCTGGCTGCTGAGGACGCCCCGCGGGCGCCTGCGGCGTACACCCGCCGAGCCGAGGACGGCTCGGTCCGCGCGCTGGTGTAAAACGCGCGCGCGCGGCGGTGCACCGCCTGGCGGTGGGCCGCCTGTTGTAAAAAATCACGTTCGCGCGGCGGTAGCCCGCCTGGCGGCATCCCGCCTGGGGAAAAGGAGGGACGGAGAGGAGGGGAACGGGAGCGGGGCCCCGCAGGCTGCACGGATCGATGGCGACGCCGACGCGTTTTTGAAAGCGCCCCCGCCCCCCATTTTCCATACGAAAAAGCAGACTTATCGGACTTATCAATTAGATATAAGTTACATATAAGTAAGATATAAGTAAACTAGTTTTGATGAAGATGGTAGATATAAGTAAGAAGAAGTAACATACATGCAGCATGTAACATACGTCAACGCCATCACCAAAGCTCCTCATCCGCTGGCGCGGGCCGGGGGAGGCCAAGGCCCGGGGCCTGTGGGCCCCTGCCGTGGCGACGCCGCCGCGACCATTGCTGACCGGCCGGGCCCTCCGGCGACGGTGGGCCTGGATGCGGGCGACTTCCCCGTCGAGGAGGAGTACGACGCGCTGGGCGACCGCCCTGCTGCTCGAGCGGGCAGCCACGCCGCCGCCGGCGACCCGGCGGACGGCGCTGCACACGCCGGACCATGGGCCGACGCCGTCGACGGAGTCGACGGCGGCCTCGCGGTAGACACGCCGCCGCGCGCGGGCGGCGCCGCTGCGGCAGGCCGCGCGACCGCGCGAGGCAGGGGCGCCAGCAGCGACGGGGAGACCGGCTGCGGGAGCTCGGCGCCGCGCCGCCGCCGGCGCGGGCGCGGCCGCTGCGGCGGCCGGGGTGGCGACTTGACAGCCCTGGCGGCGTCCGGCGGCGAGGCGGCGGGCGGGGCTGCGCGGGCGGCGGAACGGCCCGCGGGGCCAGCTGGCGCCGGCGGTGGCCCGGCTGCTGGAGGCGCGGCGGCCCGCGGGGCCACCGCGGCGGGCGCGCCCGGCAGCGACGGTTCTCCGGCTGCCGGCGGGGCGCCCCGGACGCCACCGCCGCACGCGCCGCGCGCCTCTGGGCAGAGGCTGGCCTGGCCAACCTCACGCGCGCGGACCAGGCGGCCGGATTGCGAGCGCGCGCGGACGCGTGGCGCAAGGTCCCGGGAGCAGCGCAGGGGGCGGCGCTCTTGCTCGGCGCGTGCGCCCCGCAAGCCAGGGCGCGCTGAGAGGCGGTCTTGGCCGCGCCTAGGCTGCTCGCTGCAGCTGCTGCTGCTGCTGCTGCTGCTGCTGCTGCTGCTGCTTTCTCCTCTCCCCTTCCCAATCCCCTTTGCTTTCCCAAATTTCCCCTTAAATCGCCACGGGGCGCACCCCTCTTCGGCCGGTTTTTAAAAAAGAAGGATTACATGCTTGAGCTAGGATCCAAACATTACAAAAATGTCCTGGAGGCATGGGTTGATGCTGGCGTCGACCACATACCGTCTGTCCGAGGTTTCCAAGTTTTCATTGCTTATTCGTGCGGATGTCTGTTGTTGTTGTTGTAGGCAAGTTGTTTTACGATGTTGTTCGATCTTGGTGGGATGGTACCGACAGTCTCGACATCTGTACCAGGACGTATGATGTCCCTGTTGGTCGGGAGTAGGTTGGTTCATCTTATGGTTGCCGTGGTCAGGCTGACAGTTCTAAAGGTGAGTTGACTTAACATCTGTTTGAAGTTGGAGATTTCCACCCTCTGAATGACAAGGATATCTGTTCTGGCGCATTGAAAGGCCACAGTTGAGGCTTTGTCCACGCAGCGTCAATCAAACAGGCTGTGACAAGAATATCCGGAGGCATTTGGGGAGAAGATTTTCGTCTGGACGAGAATTTTGAGCTGGAAGAAGGAGGTGGCATTCATGCAGATAGAGACGCACCATGCAGTGCTACAGTGGTCACAAAGTTGGAAACCACAAAGAAGACCTGGTGCGATGTCGTGGGCAAGAACACCAGGGATGAGTGTTTCTGCATTTGCGATGTTCAGTTCAAACGGCGGTATGATCCAATGCCTCGGTCGCCATACGTTTCGTCTGAGTATGAACCTTCGGAATCCGACTGAGGCGAAGTTACTATTACCAAATTGCGTACATGCCATCTTTCTTGACGTGTTTGGTCGCCATCAGGCTTACGAGTTCTTTAGAACGATTTTTTCGCGGAAACACTTGTTAATCATCATTTCTTTGGGGGGCCCGCGGATTTCTTGGATCGGCGCCGCGCGCCCCTTGGTGGTGCCTCCGGCGCCGCCCATGGCGCGGTCCGCGCGCCAGGGAGGGCGCACAGTGCCCATCCAAGAACAAACGAACAAAAACATCGAGCGGACCTCCGAGGAAACGGCTGGGAGCAAAAACAGTATATCAATGACGCGCCGCCATGGGGAACCCATCAGCGCTTCACTGTTGAAGCAGCACCAGACCTTCGGACAGAAACGGAGGAGCAATCACGCTGACGAGCTCTCGACGGCAGCGAGCCCTGATGGCAGCGAGTCGACCTCCTGAGGAAGGTACCCTCTATCCTGGCGCAGCGATTGCTTCACACTAGTAGAGTTCGTAATGTTTCGGCCACCGGGCCCTCCCCGATCGACCTTGCTCGAAAAATAGCGCAGAAAAATCTAGTCGGTAGGGTTCAGGTCCTGATTTTTCGCGCGGTTGCATGTTGCTCGCGCTGCCGGATCTCAGCGTGTTGATGCCGCTAACCTTGCCGCGTTATTGCCGCTTCGGGCTTGCTGGGGTCTTTGCTCGCCGCGGCTGGATTCGCTTAGAATTTTTAGTCAGGGCGCATCATATGAGATCTTGTGGGGGTCTCGAGGGTTAGGGCCTGGTGGGTTGTGGGAGGTCCTGGGGTGGTTCTGGGGGGATCTACATCACCGTGACGAAAGTCTCTTTCAATCTGCATTCGCCAATAGCACGGCAGGGAGGAGTAGTTCGGAGTAAGAGTACTCCAACCTCTCCGCGCGCGGCCGCATCACGCTTGATACACTATAGGGTGTGGCGCGGAGTAGCTTCCGATCCAGCTTTGGGGTAACAGGGTTATAAGCATCAGGCGGATCGGAAACGACTCCGCCGAATGACGCATTCACCACGTCATGTTAGCAATCTTGAGGGATGGGCGATACCTTGGCCATCGCAAACTGATGGATCGTTTGTCACGACCGTGCAGGGGTTGAGGGGTGAGCGATGTCAGGGGGCGTCTGGGGAGCTACGGTATCGGTACAGTCGAACCGAGGTGTAAGATCGAGGTCGGTTCGGGGAGGGTGCCCTAGTAATCTTCGTGTCTGTTGGGTGTTGTTGCGAATCCTGGGGAGGGTACCCTCGAAAGTTCTGTGTTTTGGCCAGCGGAGGGTCTCATGTTCTTGGGCGCTGTTTTTCTATCCCAGGTCCGGCCGTGATTTTTTGTCCTTCCCAGGAGCGGCTGCACGGCGAGGGGGAGGACCGGCCTCACGCAAAGAGGTGGTGGCCTTTCGCCAGAGTGGCCTGTTAAGCTGGCGCGCGGCTGCGCGGAACTCCAGTGGTCCCTCGCCAGCGGTCTCGTCGGGACGCCTTGCCGCGGGCAGCGGGCCGCATCGTGCCGAGACCCCAATGACGGTCGGACCGAGGTATAAGATCGAGGTCGGCTCGGAGAGGGTAATTATCTCCATGTTCTTCGTGTTTGCTGGGTGTTCTTGTGCATCCTGGGGAGGTTCCCCCTTAAGGTTTTGGCCGGCAGAAGGTCTCATGTTCTCGAAGGTTGTTCTGATGTCCTTGATCCGACTGTAGGCCCCGAGAGCAGCGACCCTTATGTGCGCCGCTTTCGGGGGGCGCGGGGGGCAGGCACAGACGGTTTGCAGGCAACGGCCCGCAAAACACGCAGGAAAAGCCACCCTTGCCCAGGGGCACTCTTTGCGTGTCTCCGAGAGGAGCTGCGGCGGCTGAGGTCGAAGAGGGGAAAGCGGCATGAGCACTGACTCTCGAAGTTCCGCGCGGGTTCTTTGGACCGGCGTTCGACACACCTCTTCGGCGCGCTCTGGCGCCAGAGGCGCCGCCAGTGGGGTCCTATAGCGCCGATCCGAAAACGCCGCCCGGACCTCCGGAAGTCAATTCCCCTCCTTTACAGGAAAGGGCTCCCGACCCGCCTCGCACACCCTGCATACCGCGGCCGAGAGGCCCAAAGTGAGCCAGTGCCGCTGGGTATCCCGCCTTTTGGCTTCGACGAAGGGCGACTACGTGCCGTGGCCGCCAGGTCCAAAGTGTGTGCCAGTGCCCCCCTGAGAGCCCGCCTCGCGCTCTCGGGTGGAGATCGGCCGAAGCATCGTACAGCCAAAACGCTGAACGAAGGAACAGTTTGGGTTCGGAAGGTGCTCGATGTTCCTCAGGTCCTTCCATGGCTGTTCGTCTAGCACTCCTCGTGCACGCAGGGCGCTGTTGGTGCCAAAAAGTGTTTTTCTCCGCTTCTCCCCGTGAGGCAGGAGGTCATCCGGCGGCAGGTGGCGGCCGACGGCGTGGACTCGGCGGTGCAGGCCGCGGAGCGCCGGGAGCAGCAGGCCGCCGACCTCGTGTCGCTCGCCGAGCGGCGGCTGCGCGCCGCGCTGGAGGACGGGCGCGGACGACCTGTGTGCACCGTGCCACGTCGGTCGGTGGTTCAAAGGTGGGATCCTGAAGGGTGGGGTCCTCAGGACGAGGTGCCTCAAGCAACGTAAAGTACCATTGGACGCCTCCCTATCCTTAGGTCGCCATCCCTCAGGACCCGGTCTGTGAACCGCCGAGTTGGCGTCTCCCGAGGCGTCGTCTTGGTACTGGAGTTTCTCGGCCCTCAGGGCCGAAAAACTGTCCGCCGTGCCGCGCTGGACGGAGACTGAAGCGAGCCCAGAGCACGGTGCGGTGCACGGGCGCCGTTCTCGCAGGACGGGCGCGGGCAGGAGGCCGCGTTGCTCGAGGCCCGCGCAGGCGCCGCGGAGCTGGAGGCGGAGGCCCGACGGCTGCGCGCCGAGTGCGGCGCGCGCGCCACCGAGCTCGAGGCCGAGCTCGAGGCGCGCGCCGCCGCTGCCGAGGCCGCGGGGGCGGAGGCGCGTCGGCTCGGGGCGCTGCACCGCGGCGCCGAGGCCGCCGCCGCGCAGCGCGAGGGTGCGCTGCGGGAGGGCGCCGCGGCGTTGTGTGAGCGGCAGCATGCCCTGACGGTGGCGGAGGCACGGCAGGGAGAGAGAGAGCGGCAACGGCACGCTGCCGTTGTGGTGGCCAGGCAGTCAGAGGAGGAAGAGGCACACCCATACCGCAGTACCCTTGCCTCGCTTTCGCCTTTTCGAGACTCCTGGGTCGGCTGGATTCGCCTTCGATATCCTGGTCAGAATGCACCCCGGGAGAGGTCTGGGGAGTAGCGGTGTCAGTACCTTTTTGGTTTCCACGGTCAGCGTGTCATTCCTTCCCTTCTCAGCAGTTGCAAGCTGATGGGTTCCGCACGGCGGCGTGCACGTGGTGTTTGCATCGCACGGTTGTGTTCTCCTTTTCCTCTCCCTTTCCTCATTCTCCGTGTGGCGCAATACGCCCCGCCTGCGTCCCAGCGTAGTCCGCCCGCAACTCGGATCTGGGACGCCGCCGCCCAAACAAGTATTTGGTTGTCGCTCCCCCAGAGGCTAGGATGCAACTCCTGGGAGGTTAAAATTCTGAACCGGCGCCGATATTTCCCTGATCGAAAATTGGCGCAATCCAGTTTAGTCCCGCTTCATTCCGTTGAATCTGGCTTAATGGCGCTTGATCCCGTTTAGTCCGGCTCGATGCCAGACTTAATCCGGCCCAATCTGGCCCAGTGGCTTCTTAATCGGGCTCAGTACACCGTAGCCGCTAAAGCTAGAACCTCCCAGGGAGCTGCCTCCTGACAGAGGCGCGGCAAGGGGAGCTGGAGAGGGCCCTGGCCCTGGCAGATGCGCGGCTCGAGGAGGCGAAGGCGCGGCTCGAGGAGGCGACCCGCCCGCCCCCGCGGCGCGACGCCGCCGTCGGCACGGCGCCGCTGCACCGGGCCGTGCGCGCGGCGCTGCGTGAGCACGCGGAGGGGCGGCTGCAGGCGCTGCACCGCGGCACGCTGCTCTGGGAGGCTCCGAGGAGGAACACATGTGGAGATTGCGGGCAACACTTCTGTCCATATCCGTGGCAGCAGCTTGGATGTTCGGACTCCTTCCCCAGAAACCCAAGGCACACTGGACATGGATAAAACTCTGGCCCCTAGAGGCTCGAGCTCTATCCACATCTGGTGCGACTCGGCCTTGTGGCGCCCCTTCCAAGAAAGTCCAAGACGCACTGGATATTGATATAAACATTGCCGCAGAGATTTGTTTTGGATCGGGTCTCAAGCGAAAAGGAAACAGGCCACGCGTTTTGGCCCGTGGGAGCTCTTCGGGCCAAACTGCTTACAGCCGAGGCTCCGCGGAGTCTGCGACATTTTGTGAACCCTACCCTTGCTGGTCCACTCGACGAGTGGGTATCGGACACCCCCGCTGGGGCTCACTTGCCTGCAGGCATCCTTCGAATAGTGAACCCCAGTCGACGCTTCAGAAACCTGACCTGTGGGGGTACAGATCACATGTGGTTGCCTAAGATTGTCTGAGGCCCAGAGGTTGACACCAACACCAATATCGGCGGTGTGCCTCCACCGAGGGAAGATGCTCCCGATCTCGGCGATGATGGAAACATTCGGGCTCATAAGCGGCCAACATGCTATCAGACCAAGCTCTGGGATCATCCTTATTCGGTGGAGGCATACCTCTGTGCTGGTGTTGGTGCTCATGTCCAGGCCTCCAAGGTTGAGACAGTCTGTTGTTTGGTTCAGGCGGCGATGGCCCGTACTATCGGGTCCGCCATTTCTTCCATAGCCCGAATAATTTGACCTTGCCAGTTGCGCAGGTCCGAAGGGGGTGCGCAGTATTGGTGCGCGCTCTGGGAGGATGAGAGGAGAAAAGATCAGAGTTGTGTCACTACATGGCGATTACGGGCGTGATTGGAGGAGGAGGGGGCAGGTCACGTCGCGGTTCGCACTGGCGCCGTCTGGGAATGCCTAGGTCGGGAGCCTTGAGACGGGGGTCAATGCAAACGGGGGTCAGCCCGAGCGCCTGATCTTGCAGGATCCTGCAGAGCCAGGCGTGCATTGACGCGTGCTTGCGCGCAGGAACCTGCAAGATCCTGCAGGATCTTGCAGGACATTGCAGGATCCTGTAAAGCCCGATTGGCCCAGGTTTACATTGACCCGGCCCAGTAGATCCCCGGCTAGGAGGGCTCATTCCCAGACGGCACCGACGCGAGTCGTGATTTTACCAGCGCGGTGGGAGCGGCGGGCCCGTTCATTCTGGCCTCTTTTCACCCTTTTTGGGCCTCCTTGGGGGCCTTCGTCGCCACGGCTGTCCTATCACCGACATTGTGGTCAGAACGTACCCTTGGAGAGGTCTGGGGAGTCCTGGGGAGGAGACGGTGCCTATACATCTTGGTCGATTCCTCGCCTTTCTAAATAACTCCCCCTGCCGCACACCGAGGCCGGTCGAGAGGGCGGGCCGGGCGTTTCGCCTAAGACTTCCTAACCGTTGATGACCCTGAAGCTTGAAATTTGCAAGAGAATCACGGATGGAGGGCGGCCCGCTTTCAAAATGTAGTTCTCGCTTTAGCGCCGCGCACATTCGTTTTAGAACATTGCAAGAATGTCACGAATGAAAGATGGTTCCATTTGAACATGTGATTCTCGCCGCAGTCAAGCGCACATTCGTTTTAAGAGAGCGAGCGGCATGTTCAATCAAGGCTTCGCATGGTTGACGTATCAAAGATTGTGTTTTGGCACGTGGTCAGACTGTCAGGACGCAACAGCCAGGTTGATTCGCGGAGTTGAAATCCGAGGAGTCGCGTTCTGGCACGATTCAGGATCGCCCAGACGCATCAGAATAAAGGTGATTCGCGGCGTCGAACTCCCAAGTATGATGTTCTGGTACATATTTAGATGTTCAACTGTTTGTCGTCCGACGGGACTCTTCCTTCAGTGACAATGAAGCTTTGTGTAGGGGGCTATGAAGAGGGAACTTGGAGGGAGGATGTATTGCAATTACTTGATGAGTCTTTGGATTTCACTGGTCGTCGTCCACCTCGTCGTCCTCCTCCTTCTCCTCGTCGTCCTCGTCATTTCCCTCCTACAAACCCTTTGGAAATTAGCTTCTCAGTGTGACACCTCGGCTGTGACAGCTGAGAGGCGGGAGTTTCTCAAGCGTTTTCACAGGGGCCTTAAGCCAAAGGCCCTGTCCAGAAAGTAATGCTGGCTCGTTGATCTGACTACGTCAGGGTCCCGAATTTCCGAATTCCTTGGCCGTCCCGGAGGCGTGGAGGTGTCACACAAATCAAGGCTGCTGCCAGTGCGGGCGCAAGTAGGGCCAGAAGAAACGGTAGAAGATTAGGTACTCAGAGGGCACGGAGTAGCTAAGCAGGCAGCCGATGGGAGGAGAGGGAAGCAGAACCAAGCATACTTGAATACCCTCCTCCTCCTACTCCTCCTCCTCCCCCCCCCTCCTCCTCCCCCTCCTCCTCCTCTTCTTCCTTCTCCTCCTTGGCCTTCCCCGAGGCGTGGAGGTGCTGGGCCGCCGTGGCGGGCGCGGGCCAGCTCCGGGAGGCGGTCGCGGCGGAGGTGCGCGTCGCTGCGGAGGTCCGGGCTCGCGACGAGGGCTTGCGGAGCGCGCTCGACGCGCGGGCGCTCGGGGAGGCCCTGCCGGAGGCCAGCGCGGTTTGCAGGTTTGAGGGTTTGAGGTTTGGAGCTTTCGGGCGTGTGTGTGTGTGTGTGTGTGTGTCGGTTCTCGGCTGTTTCCCAGCCTCGGGGTGTGTTTTCGGATGGGGCCAGGACGAGGATCAATCCGGTGCAGAGCGTTTCGGAACGGGGAGGACGCGGTACTCGATACATCCTCCAGAGCCGCTTGACCTCAGAGATACTCGATTTATCCTCTCCCGATGTTATCCTCGGCTTCGTCTTATGTTTCAGCAGCTGCGTCTCGCCGAGGGCGTTCCAGGGGTGCCCACATCGTCTCGAACGGCCGCCAGAGAGCCGAGCTATATGCCCCGAAAGCTGGAGGCCAGCCTGGGCACGCTGAAGCGTCTGCTTCTGGAGTTCCGGCGCCGGGCGGCTGCGGCGCTGCTGGAGCTGGGCCCGGCCGCCTCGGGCAAGGAGCGGCGACATTGTCCTGCCTCGCCGCAGTTTTTGGTACAGTCGGGCCGAGGTATAAGATCGAGGTCGGTTCGGGGAGGGTGCCCTAATGTTATTCGTGGTTTTTGGATGTTCATGTGCATCCTGGGGAGGGTACCACTGGATGGTCTGTGTGTGTTGGCCGGCGCAGGGCCTCATGCTCTTAAAGGATGTGGTGTTGTCCTAGATCCGACTGTAGGTTTCGTCGGCCCCCGGAGGTTGTCCTGCCGCGGGATTCGCTCCAGCAGCCGCGCCTCGCCGAGAGCGTTCCCTGGAGTGTCGATCTGAACGGCCGCCGGAGGCTCCGAAAAACAGACGACGGCCTTTCGCTGCAGGATCCTTTGGTGCTCGGCTTTCGGGGGGCGGGGGGCGGGAAGCGAACGAACCCAAGCACGCAGGCCGCCATTGCCGCACCACATGCAACAGTGGGCAAGGCGAACACCAAAAGGTAACTCTTTCCCGTGGTCACTCTTGCGGTGTAGCTGAGAGGAGGGCGACAGTCCGCTCCCTGGCGTGCTGGAGGCCTCCCGCGCTGGCTTCGGGCGGCTGCTCCACGCGGCGCTCTTCCTCTACCAGAAGCTTCGGGCCCTGGTGCCCACGGAGCTGCGCGAGGCGCTGCAGGACCCGCTGGGCAACTTGGTGCCCGTGCCGTTCTACGTGCTGCCGTACAAGGCTCGGGCGGGGGGCAATGGGGGGTGACCTGAATGGGGGGGGGAAGGAGAAGAACCCTTCAAGCATTCAGGGCCACTTTTGGGACCCTGCTGTCCCCAAAAGGGGCCCTGAAGGGCCCCTTTGGGGCCTTCTTCTTCACCCCCAGGGCGCTCTCGGGTTCCTGTGGGACTCTCCAGTAACCCTTTTGCTGCGCAAACGTAAGTACCACCCGCCCGAAAGGCGAAGCAGGCGATCCGCCTCGCGGCCTCGGCCGCGGCGCGCGCGGGGCAGGAGCGCGGCCACCGCGAGCCGGGCCCGCAGGGCGCCGACGCCGAGGTCTGCCTGCGCCTGGAGCGGCTCGAGGAGCAGATGCCCCTCTCGGAGGTCGCTGGAGGTGCCCCTGGCCCGAGGTGCCCCCGGCTTTTCGTTTTTCCGCTCCACTTTGGAGCCCCTGGAGCCCTCGGGGCCTCGTGAAGGGTACCTCCAGCTGTTCGCTCCAGCTTGGAGCCCCACTGGTGCCCCAGCTGTTCGCTCCACTATGGAGCCCCTGGCCCAAGGTGCCCCCCGCTTTTCGCTCCACTTTGGAGCCCTCTGGGCCTCGTGGTGGGGTGCTCCGGAGGCCGTGGGGGCCTCCTTGGAGATCTTGGGGCGCCTTGGGCCAGGGGCACTTCTGGCAACGCCCGACCCTCTGCGCCAGCACCCCCGGCTTCCTGGTCCACCTCGTTGGCCTGGGCGCCGGCGTGCCGGACGACCTCGCCGCTGCCGGGGCGCCGCCGCCGGGCGGCGGCGCCGAGCTGCTGCGCGACCGCTTCGAGGCGCTGCTCCTGGACGCCCTGACGGTGTACATGAGCGGCTGGCGCCGAGCGCCCGGCGCGCGGGGCGCCCCAGAGGTTAAAATTCTGGATTTTCGAATGGCAGGTTCAAGCCTCGAGCAGCTTGCGAAAACCGAGCCGTGGCCACTACACGTTGTCCGCTCTGACCGGGTCGGTCAACCAGGTCCATCCTGCGCCCGGACTTTTGTAGCCAAGCAGCTCAGCTTCCCATCTGAGCGACGGACGGGGGTCATTGCGCCGACATTCGCGCGTAAGATTCTCTTTCAAGGCCGCGCGAAAGCACCTTCTTCTCCATGCGGTGTGCCACGCTGGCGGGCCACGTAAGCTGCGGCGTAAGGTCGCTACGTCATCTCGCGTAAGCCAAGAGGAAAATAGAGACAGACACATAAACGTCGATTCCCGTGAAAAGTATGGGAGGAAATGTGGGAAGTGGAGTGGAAGCGGAGCATTCAGAAAATAGATGCAGAGATATGGTGAAATCTGGAAGTGGTGCCTGTTCGTTTGTGTGTGTGTGTCCTTGGGCCCCTTCAGCAAGACCCGTTTCTTTTCGTGGCTCATCTGAGCGACGCAGAAAAAGTGAACCGTCTTCACCGACATTGGCGCGTAAGCTGCCCGTATGCGCCTGCTTCTCGAGAGTAGCGAGCCGCGCTAGCGGCCCGCGTAGGCTACCGCCTAAGGCCTGAGGTCGCCACATCCTCCTGCGCAAGACCCACCAGGCGCCCACAGCCCGCCGGCGGAGGCGCCGCCCTCCGCGCCGCCCCCCGCGGCTGCAGCTGCCTGCGGCTCGCCAGCGGGGGCGCCGCCCTCCGCGGGCGCCGCGCTGGCGCCGCGCGAGTCGCGGAGCCTGCCGCCGCAGCGCGCCTGCGGGCGGACGAGCAGGGGCGAAGCGTCCTGGAGGGCCTAGAGGCCCAGCAAAGAATGTTCTAAGAACCCTCTCTGGGTTGCGCGAAGGAAAATTAGCACAACATGTCTGGGGAAGACTGTTTCGTTGTCATAGATCAGGCTTATGCCATAAGAACACTGTTGTGGTTCTTAGAACATGTTGCGGTTCTGAGAGTGTTTCGTGGTAGGCCTGTAGGCATGCCGGGACGGTCGGTCCTGCTCAAGGCGGGCAGGGCGGCCACCGAGCAGCCTGGCGCCCAGGCGCAGCGCCCCCTGCGCCGCAGCGGTCGCGGCGCCGAGGATCCAGGGAGTTGAAATCACCCCGACCCCCATGACTGGCGTTTGCTCGTCGGCCCCGGGCGTTTACTGAACAGCCGTACCCTGTTCGAGTTCGATGCCTTCCTTGGGCGCGTTTACTAGGAGTCTTCGCTTGTCGACGTGCTCCGTATGAGGGTGTTTCTTGTTCTGCTCTCTAGAGGATCGCAGGGGCGGGCAGCGATGGGAGGGGATGGGCTACGGTCAGGGTCAGGGGCCTCTGGTCACGGTCAGTGGCAGCGAGAGGGGTCAGAGCCTCTGGTCAGGGTCAGGGGCAGCGAAAGTGGGGGCCCAGCGCCGACCCAGGACACCCGCGCGGATCTTAGGTTCGAGGTCTGAGGTTTCCGGGCGTCTTCGTTGGTTCTCGGCTGTGGTCCAGCCTCGGGGTGTGTGTTCAGTAGCTGCGCCTCGCCGAGTTGTGCCCCGAAAGCCAGGGGGCAACGACTGGGGGCGAGAGGCTCAGGGGTGGGGCTGCATCCGCCCCCGAATCCCCCCTTCGGCGCCGATGGGGCCCCGGAGGCCCGCCTCGCCCAGGGGCGTGCGAGTTCGCCAATCGGGGGCCTGTCGCCGACCTATCGGCGAGGTGCCGCCGAGTCCTGGTCGATGCTTCCCCTCCGAGCCCCTCGTTGGTCGATTCCTGTCGATGTTTCCTGGTCGATGTTTCCTGCCCTGCTCTGGTCGATGTTTCCTGGTCGATTCCCGTGTCTCCTCCCACCGTTGCCCCTCTGGTGGTTGCGGTCAATCACGCGGCAGGCTCGCGCGTCGCGTCGGCGCGCGGCGGCGGCCCCAGCGCGGGCGTGCGAGGTGGCACGCCAGCAGCGGCCTGGAGTCGCCCGATGTGGGACGATTTGTGTTGTCGCTCAGGGCTCAACGATCTGCGCTGGCCAGCGCCGGCGCCTTCACGACACGATCCCGCCGTATCTACCCTCAGATCTCGGCGTTGCGATGTTTCCTTGCTTCGATCCGGCTCGAAAAATGCAGCAGAAAGTTGGGAGAGCATGTTACGCATGTAATGAATTGAGAAGAAGATGAAGTGTTGGATCTGTGAGTGGATCAGCCTAGGCAGTCTGATGATCAGAGGCTTTGATGCCTCTATTGGTTGTGGGTCGGCTATGATGCCAACCCGTGCCCACCCCGTCCCGTCTCCAGGGACTTCGCATCCCCCTTGTGAGGGCAGTATGGGGAGTCCGTCCGCCACCCCTGGCTCTGCACGTACTGTGCCGGGTTCGTGGGGATTCTGTTTGAGTTCTATGAATGTCCATCCCCCTCCCCTCCCGCCCTTCCGGTTACGCGCCAGGTCCTGCGAGTGGGAAAGCCAAGAAATGTATGTTGTTTCCAGGCTTGCAATGTTTCGCAACGTCCGATCTCTGGGAGAAGACAGAAGCTGCATGAACATACACTTTAGGAGGTCTGCGAGGAGTTCCTGCGCTTGACCTCCCTCCTTGGCGCGAGCAGTGCGCCAGGCCTGGCAGCGCCCGAGGCGCCGGAGCAGCGCCGATCCGGGAACTCCGCGCGGACCTCCAGAAGTTTACGTATGTGCAGGTTGCTTATTTTCTGTTCTCCCACCCAGGGGCTTAGCTGCCTCGATACGCCCGTTTTGATACGCAACCCGTACCGATCTCAAAACGTCCGTGTCAGTACGTTGCGTGTTGGCTCAACGTATTGGCCCACGTTCTGGCGAACTTATTGCGTCAGGCCTACGTAATCAGTCTACGTGTTGAGCTTCGTATCAATACGCTACGTGTTACGTGTTGCGTATCGGGGCAGCTAAGCCCAGGGAGCATTGCCTGAGCCCCAGGATCCGCGGGCAACAGTGCGGGGGCGCGCCGATCAACTTTCAGCCCGCCCCGAGCCGGGGGCGCCGATCTTTTTTAAACAACTCGGCACGGTGTGCTCCAGGAAAGGGGCGTCGCCTCCAGCGCGTCTCGCCCTCGGCGGCAGACGGCGGAAGTAGAACGGCGGCGTCGCTGCCGTTGGAAAGTTGGCGGAAGCAATCGTGAGACGCATGATGTTCCAACCTACTTTAGCCTGGATCGCCAGAAAGAATTTCGAGCACCAGGAAAGTGTCGAAACTGGAGGGTTTTCACGTGTCGGGCCCTGGGAGGCGATACTCGTTCGACACTTCGCCAGCGTGTCGGGCAGGCACTGGTTCTGCATTGTTCTGGGTGCTCGAAAATTATTTCTGGGATGCGGCCTGTAAGTACGATGAGGACAACATAACGTGAAACGTCGACGTGCTTGGATTCAGGGTCTTCGAAGTCGCTCACATGGTGTGGCTTGTGGGCGGGTCGCGAGGTTCGGCCTCCGAGCTCCTGGCGAGCACATAGCCCCAGATCTCGAGCGAGATGTTATGTTATATGCAGGCGTGCTTCCATGCTTCCCGCCTCTGAGGCCCGCTGCTGGACTCCAGGGCCATCAAACATGGATCCGGGACGAACGCCTTTCCTGGGGAAGGGCCGCGTCAGGTTGCCAAACAAATGTTCACCTTACTCCAGGGGTCCACCATGCGTGCCGCAGCTTTGACAACATCTTGGGGCACGAGACAGAGAGAGGTTTCTGAGTTCTCAAGTCCGCTTCGCATGTGTATATAACTGTCCCGTGCGCCTCGCGTGGCCAGCGCATCTGCCATCGTGAAATGAAACATATGTCAACGCGCCTAGTAGTGACGCGCGCCATCATCTAGGATCTAGGGTACCCTAGTGACTAGTGTCCTTTTGCCTCTGCGGCCCGTCCTCTGCCGTTTTCGCTGGTCGCCCGCCGCCCTAAAAATCCCAACCTCGGCCTCCAAGGGTCCTGCGTCCTTACCACCTGGCCTCCTTACTACACGTCTCGACTGTAGAATATCGTCGGGCGTCTGGGACTGCCAACGTACCGCTTGAGCTCCCCCCCACACCTTCAAGGAGAGGGCACTTCCCCCTGGGCCACGGCCAGCTGAAGGAGGAGTCTGGCCGGCGCAGCGCGGGCGGCGTGCACCATCCCCAGGAGCCGAGGGTGTTGCCAGAGGCGTCCCTGGCCCAGGGTGCCCCAAGCTTGTGGAGCCATTTTGGAGCCCCTGAGGCCCTTCCCAGATTTCCGACGCACCAAACAAGATTGAGCCGAGGGTTTTAGGCCGTTTCTGTCCCTGGGGGCCCTCGCCAGGCCTCGGGACCGTCGAAAATCGGCTCGGGACGAAAAACCGGTCTTCGGGAAGTGGTCCAGATTTCCGGGGCCCACGCATCGAACAAATTGGAGCGGCCAGATGTCTAGGTCTGGGCTTCGTGACGGGTGCTGTGGAGGCCGTGAGGGACATCCTCTGAAACCCTGGGGATATTTTTCTGGTCGGAGACATGTCTGGCAACACCCGATAAGGAGCTCTGGCGCACCACCGCTTGTGCGCAGTGACTGCGCGCGCAGTGACTGCGAATTCGGCGCGGGCAGGTGCCGGGGAAAAGCAGAAGGGTCATTGTCGCGTACGAACTCGGCGCGGGCAGGTACGGGGGAGAAGCGGAAGGGTGGTCTTGAGGGAAGCGGGTGTTGGGTTTCTGTTCGCCGCTCTCGGACTCCCGATGCCGTCCGTGGGCCCCCGGTGTCGTCAAAAAGCGACTCAGGGTGAAGAGTTGGCCTTGGGGGAAAGCCCCCGGCTCCAGGACCCGTTTCCGTCAGGAGCTGCTTCCCTCACTGGAGCGACAGAAGAACGTACATGCACATGAATCCACATTGGTTTCGAACGTACGCAGTGCTCGAGCATTCGTAACACGAGGCAGGTTTCGCGGACTGGGGAGCCGTATTCATTTACGTGGTTTGGCGCGTACGTATTCTGTGGGTTCTTCATTCACAGCAACATCATCCTCGGCCGCCTTGATGATTGCAATCGTTGCTTGCACCTTGGCGGCCACGGTCACCATGGACATCAGCTGTTTCTGGATAGGCCACAGTGCTTGCGCACCAGAACCCGACACTAAAGCCATGATCCTCTCTGGAAAAGAAGAATTCAGAGCATCTGTTGAATGCCGTCGCCCGTGTCTCCGGGCCCATGAGTCCCGCGTCGATAAATGCCCGCCCTGCGCGCGTGGGAGCAACGCGAGTTGTTTCTAATTCCTCTGGGCCGCGCGAGGCCCGTGGGCCGAGCGAACTTCGCCAGCCCCATGAGCCCCACAAGTCCCCCAAAAGTTTCCTGGTCCACACGGGCGCCGCAATGCGAATGGGCCCAAAGCACCGCGCTAGCCCGGCGAGCCGCACGGGCCCCATGGGCCTTGTGAGTCGTCAGGGCCGCGTCGGGTTTCTGGGCCTGGCGAACTCCGCGGACCATGGCAGCCCCATGGGCCCTATAGGGGTACCATGAACCCCATGGGGCCCATGGTTTTTTTTGTGTTCCACGCGACCCCCACCAGCTTCGCCTCTCGCCAGCATTTGTTGTTTCCTGCCCTTGTTCTTGCGCGCTGCGCGATGTCTCCCGTTCCCCGACTCCCCGCCCCCCTTGCGATTCCGAAGGCCAGGACGGGCTCACGATGGCCCAAAACGCAATTCGACCGCTTATGAAACAAATACCTGATTGGTGCCTGTGTCGGCTTTTCTGTCCCCCCGCCACCCCGATCTAGAATCGAGGTTCGTCCACGACTTGCATGACCGGGTGACAAACGTTCCTCATATGGCATCGTTATTGAGGAAAGGTCGTCTGGTTGATGCAATCGCGTTCGAACGAGGATGTGTATTATACAAACCGTCCGCCGACAGCTTTGGCATGATGGCGTCGCACGAGTGTCGTGCCATGTGAATGATCTTCGCACCTGACTCTGGCATCGCGCTTGCGCTGGACACTTCGCTGCAATTTCCTCCGAAAGCAGGCTCTCGCCTTGGGCTTTCTGTGAACGTATTCAGGTATCGCGCCTCGGGTACAAAGTCCACTGTGTGACAGATGGGTACGTACGATGATGCTTAGACTGGGGACAATACATGGGACGCAGGGGACGCCGGGACGCCGTTGCAATGTTGTCATAACGGCGCCCATTCGAAACACAGAACGGCAACTAAACACAAAGCGGGTGGCCGTCCTTGTCGCCTTACAAACAGAAGTAGCTAACATAACAGCGGAAGCGGAAGAACGAAGTCAGGATGTATAAAGACGAGATACCGATGCGGAGGCCGTTTTGTGCGAAGTAACGGAACAATTTGGTGTTGACGACACACGCAGCGTAATATCGTGCGCGACAATTCCACCCGCAAGGTATTGCATGCCACCGTCCAAATCCAAACGGTGAGCCGCCTCCGCGCTATCTGTTTTTTCATTGTTATTGATGGCGCCTGGTGCACCCCGTCCCTGGGGGCCTGGTCCCAGAAAATTGAACCATCAGTTCAAGTTCAAATATTTTTGCAAAACCGAATCAAAGTTAAAAGGCGCCGTCTTTTGTTGCTTGGCCATGGCGACCGAACCGTCCTCTTTTCCTTCTGATGAAGATACGCCATGGACAGTCTAAGAAAGTTTCGCAGAAACTACCACTTGAGACCCACGCCCTTCCGTCGTCGAGAACAGGCCTGTCAAGCGGAGCGTCGCCATCGCCCCCGGCGGCGGCGGCGATGGCGGCGGACATGCTGCGAAACGCCAGCGCGCGCCAACAACGGCACAACTCCCAACGACAGAGACGGACGCGATTGGCGATGGAGAATTGCTTTCAGAATGAATGCCGAGACGTTTCGGTTCACATCTTCTGGCCTCTAATTATCGCGGCGGGTTTGACCACGAACGCATTCCCGCGATGCTCATGAGCAAGAGCGCAGTGGCCGAGTACAGCATCGGCCGCGAGCACCACAAGAAGGAGAGCGTGGGTGACAAAGACAGGATTAGCAGTGGCTTGTGTACGTGGCTTTCGAGAACAAGAAGAACATCAAGTCGCCACGCTAATTCGACATGCCCGGCAACGGCACCTACAATAGCCGCCGCTTCCATTGCACGATCATGTCGTGCAAGACGAGGCAGGACCGCACCAATCGCATCAACTACACAAAGAAGGAGATGACCCCAACCCACCCCAGAAGCTCAATGGGCCACTGAGTGGCGCTATGAGCAAGTAGGAGACATTCCACGAGCTCAACAAGATGGCCGCGGAGGGCTCGACAGTCGAAGAGTGCATGGCCATGACGCGCGAAAACCAACCGGAAGACTGTTTCAAACTCGGAGGCCGTATCGAGGCGCGGTTGGAGAAGTTGCTGGATCGCGGCAGTGATACCAAGCAGTTATCATTCACACCGTACCGCGGCATCACGGCGGGCCAGTCCCCACGCTTCGATCTGACGTTGTTTGTCATTCTCCATGGCGACGGCCGCAAGGGAAAAAACAATTACGCGGTAGCGCAGGGAAGATAAAAGAAGTCACGGATCTGTTCGTCTTTGACGAGGTGGCCACGCTCACAATGTTCACGGCTAAAATGTGAATCTATTGATCGACCTGAAGCAGAACCGACGGTTTGCCAAGCAAGATGGAAAGACACCCTCCTAGATAGCAAGTCGTCGAGCTCATTCCCACCCGCCCTCCCAACACATAAGTAACACCCGAGCCTGAGCATGTTCAGCAGTCGTCTTTGGATGAACAGCTACTGGGAACCAAAACCGACCCCATGTGCGCGACGCTGGGGCGAGGTGCGCCACGCGTGCCAGGAGCGCCAGGCGCGCCAGGCACTCATAGGGGACCGAGCGTGCCAGGCACGCCTGGTGCGCCAGATGCGCCACGTGCTCCGCGTGAGCCGGGTGTGCCGCGTACTCCAGCCGCGCCGGGTGCGCCACGTTCTGGGCGCGTGCAGAGTGTGTCAGGTGCGCATGCGCGGTGGCAGCACACATCGGGAATCATGTCGGCCCCCACCACCCTTGTCGAAAAGTCCATGCACATCAAGTGTTGGGCATGCGCACAGCAGGCCATACGCCATCACCCCCGCCGTCCCTGTCAAAAAACCACTTGACAGTGATCGCGGGGTGGCCGCGCATGATGCAGATCTATCCGCGAGGTGCATTTTGTATTGTTGTTGTTGTTGTTAGGGGTGGTAGCCTTGCGCACAGCAGGCAATATGCTGACACCCCCACCGTCCCTGTCAAAAGCAATGCAAAGTGCTCGCGGGCCTCACGAACATGACTCGAGACTTTGCCCCAAGGTGTACTTCTTATTGTTTTTTGCACAGGGATGGTCGGGGGGCCGCATCGGGTTGGCCGTGCATGCTCCAAATGTGGAGGCAGAGTGCGTTTTGTATTGTTTGTTGTCAGGGATGGTGGGGGGTGATCATGGTGTCCTGATTGTTCCTGGTTGGCTGCCGGTCGCCTGGGGGAGGGGGTGTATATTAATAGGGAACAATGATAAACCCTTCCCCGAAGGGGAAGAAGGGGGTTGGAAGAGGAGCCTCCCTAGACCGCCTGCGCCCAGAGGGCTGGTGGGATCTGTTCGGTTGGTTTGGCAACCTGTCGTCCAATTGTTGGTTATGTTTTTAGGATTAACCTTTCATGTTTTGGATGCACGAATGCGTGGCCACTTGCTGGCCCGTCACCCCATTCATCTAGAATATCGTTATGTATATCTCTATGTCTCTCTCTCTCTCTCTATCTCTTTCTCTCTCTCTCTCTCTCTTTCTCTCCCTGTTCTGCTCTCCCTCTCTCTCTCTCTTTGTTTGTTTGTTTGTTCTCTCTCTCTCTCTCTCTCTTTTTGTGTCCCCATCTTTTGATTTGTTTCTCTCTGTCTCTTTCTCTTTCTTTCTCTGACTCGTCCACAAGCGGGGATGTTTTGTGGGGCGGGGGTGTGGGAGTGCGGTTGATGGCGACGGGTGTGTGCATGGGCGGCGCGAGAGGCGAGGGGGGTGCGTGGTCCGCACCTTCCTCGCCTCTCGCACCGCGCCCCACCCTCCCCACTCGGTGGGGTGCGGCGGGTGTGGAGTGTGTGGGAGCCGGGTGGTTCGGGAGGAAGAGAGAGAGAGAGAGGGAGAGACAGAGAGAGAGAGGGAGAGCTAGAGAGAGACATATCTTTGCCTCGTTCGGATGAAGAGGTTGCCGTCTTACGAGACCAGGGGGGCCGCAGAGAAATGAGCGAGAGAGAGAAGGAGAGAGAGAGAGAGAGGGCGAGCGAGAGTCAGAGAGAGAGAGAGAGATCTGTTCCACCTTTGGATATGTATGTACAGTGGCTCCGGATTCATGATTCAATCCCCCGCAGCATGAAAGCTCTCCCTCGCAGGTCTGAGAAGTCTGAAACGTATACTTATTGGCTGAGTACCACGTCAGGCAGATGAGAGATGAATATGTACGTGCACGTTGAATACATATGTAGATATCTGTGGAACGATAGCATGGAAAAATGTGCAGGGAAGAGAGAGAGAGAGGGTTGGGTGAAAGGCAAACAGAGGGAGAGAGAGAGAGAGAGAAGAGGAGGAGGAGGAGGAGGAGGAGGAGGAGGAGGTTTCACGTTCCATGTGCAGACCCAACG